TGGGATGCCGTCTCCTCCTTTTGCGAAGCAGTCATGCTAGCTAAGGAGGAGGCGGGACGCGTGAGGCAGCGAAGCGCTGCCTCCTCGCAACCCAGCCATCGCGAAGGACACACCGGGCGTCGGGGATCGCGGGACGATCTCCGGCCACCGTAAGCGCGGGCCTGCGGACGGCGAGCATGGGTGGCTCCCCGTCCGACCAGAAACAGACCCGAGCGTACGGCGCGTCGCGTTCCGCGCGCGCCTCAAAGAGCCATCAGACCACCACAGATGGGGCCCAATAGGGCCGATGCCGATTCGGAGTCGCGGAGAACCTAACGGGTAACCGGGGCTCCGGCTCGACGTGCAGGAGAAGGAACGGGGTGGTTTTTAGTCAGTAAGAGTCTGACACTCCCTTCCGCCTCACCCAGGCGGGAGCAGTCATTCGATGATTTTCCCCCCCATTTTCCATTAAAAAAACAAAAAATAAAGGTCGCCTGCCGAATAAAACTCTGTTCCAGAGGTTGCTTAGTTCAAAGTATATTTGGATGCATAATTCAGCTACACTATAACCCTGTATAAATAAGTATTCCTGAAGTTACTTAATAGTCGCCTTCACGGCTTCTAAACGGAGTTGGGTATGTCATGTAACATGTTACATATTGCTTGTCCCGGACAACCGAACATATTTGTTCCAGTATGGTTTCAGTATCAGCTAGCAGATTTGCTCAACAAAATCTTCGTATCCATTTCACTTAAAAATAAATCATATCGTCTCTCATCCACGTTTTCTCAATTAACTTCGTCAAATTACCCATTGTCAGCCTTGATTAAATTTTATGTTCCAGTCTAGGCCGTGTACATTAAATCCCTTTAATTATAAGCTCAATGTAACTAACAATTTGTAAGATGAACCTTAATACTTGGCTTTGCTATTTTATCGTTATGAGTGTATTATAATTCTAGGTACTTAGGTACATCTATCTCTCTATCTTGTCTAGTTCTTGCCCAAGTTATAGAGGGCATCTATTGTTTCAAAGATAAGCTTTCATTTGGTGAATTATCTGTTAATCCACAAAGTTATTCTTGTTTTGCTTTATTTGCCCTAATAATTAATATTCGGGTGAGTTCGGGTATGTTCGCCGCCTACGTTCTCGAAGTTTCTCGGTTAAAGGGTAAGGGGTTAAAAACGGCGTCGGTTTTGTTCTTGTTTATTATTTTATGTAAACAAATGGAAACAAATTGTTTTGTACAAAAAAAATATTTTTAAGAAATGTACGAGTAAAACATTCAGTTACCGTATCTATAAGATTTTGCCTAAGTAGTGGTTAATAAAATGGGCCTAGGTAGGTACAACTCGTACTCAACTATCTCTGCTAGGTAATTATGTAGGCATGTACATACCTTTGTGAGTACTTACATATAGGCCATGTAGTAGACTGAGAAACAATTACCATACATCTGACACAGATGGGTCCAATTATTCAACTCAGTAGTAATATGTGTAGGTACAATACCTACTGTGCTTGAATCTGCCTGTCCACACAGGTTTTATAAACTAAGTTACATAGGTATAAAACTAAAAGTTTTTTTCATGGGATAAACCGGTAAACGAGCACGGATCACCTGATGGTAAGCAATCGGCGTCGCCCATGTCCATGGGCGACGCCGATTGCTTACCTGGAACACCAGAGGCATTACCGGCCTTTTGGGATTACGAATTTGAGGATTGTTGGGGATTGGGGAAAGGGGGGGGGAGGTAATAGGGGCTCCAGTAACCTCACTCACACGACGAAGGCGAGGTAGAGAGTGAGGCCGTGGTATCACTCCGGTCGAGCCGGCCCATTCATGCTGAAGCATGGCTCTCCCACACTTAAAAGGTTTTCCTTCCTTGCTGTTTCTTTTTCCGCATTATGTCTAACTCTAAAATCTAGTATTTAGTATAGAAGATTGTATAACCACACTTTGTCACATCAAAAAACACAGAACTAAAGTGTCAAGTGTCCGTTCTCGATGCCCACCCTGCCTGTGGCTTGGTGGAGCCACAGGCTCGATTGTAAAGTGGCCTATAGAGTGCATTATAGAAAACATAACAAATACTGTTAGGTAAATAAGTGTGTATAAGTAAGTAAAGAATAAAATATATAGACGTAGGTACTCCTTTAGCTTTTTTACTATAGCGAAATAACAATAAAAATACCAACGGATTGCCTTTTGCTTTTAGAACGTTTTTCTTTGTTGAGAAAGTAAATAAATATACGCTTCAAAACGTAATAAAATATCCAATGAACATAAATTTAGCTAAACACAAAAGAAAATGTTGAAATCAGTTCACGAGACTTATGTATGTGTGTGTGCTGTTAGGGTTGGCCCTCACCAGGTAAAAGTTTATAAATAACTACTCAAAGGGTAGGGCTACATAAAGGTGGTCTTCATTATACATAGTTTTGAGCAGTCAGCCCAATCCGAGAAACTAACCAAGTATTTACGATTCGTTTACGTATGTCGTAAACTAGCTTCTGTCCGCGGTTTCGCCCGCGTTCCCGTAAGGTGAAGGTAGCCTATGTGATATTCTAGACCATGATCGAATCCTGTTCCAAATTTACGCCCATACACTTCAGCCGTTTCGACGTGATTTAATAACAAAACACACACACAAACCTATAAACTGTTACATTTACAATATTAACTAGTAAGATAAAATAAATGCACACCTCCTGCGTTTCCATATTATAGATTTTGATCGACGTGTCTGCGTAGCCAACCGCCATCTTCTTACACTCCGACATTACTCCCAGCGAAAGAGCAGCGCCACGTTGTTCTGTCGGGAAGAACCCTAAGCATTAAAGTGCGTTGCTGACAGTCCAAGAAACTGATTCACTTATTTTTGACCTATCTTTCGCGAAACTCTACCACTGTAAAGGTACTTATAAAAAAAATAGAAATGAGTTATTGGTATCGCAGGTGAAACCGCTCTTAGCTGCTGAAGCTAGTCTACTGTCATCAGTTGATATAGTTTGTTTTCAACGGTATTAATTTTTTGACGCAAATCCCAACAAATGGGTACCTACTATAGCTAGCTAATTCGTAAATTAATACTTTGATAGATACTTTGATAGATACATGACTTACGGGTAACAAATGGCGTTGCATACAAAGACGTTCCTGGGCTTCCATAGAACTGCATGTTAAGGCTCTCTAGCATCGGATCAGCTCTGATACAGAACGTGGGAGGTTCCTCAATCGACGTGTCTATCTTTACAAATAAATGGACAATGTTAATCGATATCGCGGACAACCAATTGGAGGTGATTTATGTGGGCATGCCCTTACGATTGAGCTTTGAAATTAGCGGTAACAGTCAAGTAGTTACATATACAGACATTATCAGGACTTTTTGTGGTCCATTTCTGGATATATAAGCCTCGTATGCCTACGTAGTACACAAACATAAGTAGGTAACTACTTTTTTTTACCAGGGAGTGTCAGACACTTACTGACTAAACACCACCCCGCTCCTTCTCCTGCACTTCGAGCCGGAGCCGCGATAACCCGTTAGGTTCTCCGCGAATCCGTATCGGATTTTGTCTTGGCATGGGATCTCTCGCCTAACCCAAGGGAGAAGTCTATGGATGATTTTCCCACCTCAAAAATATAATTAGATGTACCCATGTTTGCAAATAAATGAATTTGAATTTAGCTTAAGCGTTAATGCTTACTTTTATAGGTACACTTATATACTTACTTTGGTACCTATGCATACGGCTTTCATGCAACTACCTAATTTATAAGTTGAATTTAATGAGATGTTAAGGAAAACCTGATAAGGTTGCAGAGAAAGGGTTTCCATAGGAATAAATATAGATACCTTTTTTATGGAAAAAGCCGGTAATCAAGCAGACGGATCACCTAATGGTAAGCAATCGCCGCCGCCCATGGGCACATGAAACACCAGAGGCGTTACAAGTGCGTTACCAGCCTTTTGGGAATTAGGAATTTGAGGATTGTTGGGGATTGGGGAGATTAGGCAGGGGGGTAATTGGGTCTCCATTAAACTCACTCACACGACGAAACGCAACGAAAGTTAACTAACACTTTGATAGATACATGACAAGTGTTGTTTCACGTCGGTTTTCTGTGAGACCGTGGTATCATTGCGGTCGAGCCGGCCCATACGTGCCGAAGCATGGCTCTCCCAGGCTTAAAAACTTAATTAACTAAACCTCATGTAATTAAACTTTACCCTATCGACTACTTGTCAGAACGGTTAATCTAAGTTCTAGATAAGAAACTGTACTTAGCACATTTACTTCGCACATAATAATTATAACACACGGACAATGTATCGTTTTCAATTCCTATATCGCTTGTTTCAAGGCCCCACAGGAACAATGTCTGGTCAAAGGCAATCCACAAACCGCTAGGCCGGTAATACCAATGGGAATCGAGGATAACATTTTAATCTTCGTTATTCCCAGTTGTTATTTGCTACATCGCGAACGGAAATGAATACAGGGGCTTTTGTATTCCAATAAATAAATAAATTGTATTTGATGAATTGCTCTCAGTCTGTAGTTATTCGGGAATTCGGTAGGAACAGGTGAATGAATGATAAATCGCCGAACCTACCTAATTCATTCCTGGATTATATTTTAAAACTGTCAATCAATGTTTTATACTTAGGTAGGTACATCTGGGATTTTGAGGAAAATCATCGAATGTCTGCTCCCGCCTGGGTCAGGGAGTGTCAGACTCTTACTGACTAAAAACCACTTCGTTCTTTCTCCTGCACGTCGAGCCGGAGCCCCGGTAACCCGTTAGGTTCTCCGCGACTCCGAAGGTACATCTGGGATACATGCTCTTTTGAACAACGCAATTAATTTTTCTAATGTTGCCCTCTCCTAATAAGCGCTAGGGTAGGTACTAGCATTCCCTTATTTGCCGTGCTCCGTTTACAAACATACTAATATCACACCCAGACCCAAAACAAGGATTTATGGATCACACAACGAATTGTTTCCTGCGGGAATCGATCCCTTTTTTTAAGGGGGAAAATCATCGAATGACTGCTCCCGCCTGGGTGAGGCGTGAGGGAGTGTCAAACTCTTACTGAATAAAAACCACCCCTGTTACTCCTGCACTTCGAGCCGGAGCCGGTAACCCGTTAGGTTCTCCGCGGCTCCGTATCGGCAAAAGCCCTATTGGGCCCCATCCGTGGTGGTATGATGGCTCTTTGAGGCGCGCGAAACGCCACGCGCCGTACGCTGGGGTCTGGTTCTGGTCGAGCCACCCATGCTCGTCTTTCGCTGGCCCGCGCTTACGGTGGCCGGAGATCGTCCCGCGATCTCCGACGCCCGGAGTGTCCTTCGCGATGGCTGGGTTGCGATAAGGCAGCGCTTCACTGCCTTACGCGTACCGCCTCCTCCTTAACTGCTTCGCATAAGGAGGAGACGGCATTTCAGTCCCTCTGCGACATTCATTTTATCAATCGCGCATTCCAAAGAAGTGCAAGCAACATACACAAACAAATACATAATATTATTTGGTTATGATTTGATTAAAGTTGGTGACCTACCTTTTAGGTATTGCAAAGCCATTATAAAATGAACAGGTGAATTCAAACAATATGGGTTTCCTCAAATTCAACAAAAGCTATTCAATACCCATTGTTCTTGCCAATAGAATCCAAATACCTCTGGGATCTCGATCCGATATACGGCACCGTCTATGCAAGCCGCATAGCAGACATTTGACTCGAAAGAGCTGTATTCCAAAGCATGCACCGGTTTTGGCGGGAACTGAATGTTTCGCAGCGTGCAAAGAACTGTACCTGTGCTGCCATGACGCATCTGAAATTTCCAAAGAGCTTTAATGATAGTCATTTGTCTGTCTATTGTCTAATAATATGAGGACTCTTAAAGGTTTTTTTAAGTGGGGAAAATCATCGAATGACTTCTCCCGCTTGGGTGAGGCGGGAGGGAGTATCAGACTCTTACTGACTAAAAACCACCCCGTTCCTTCTCCTACACGTCGAACCGGAGCCCCGGTTACCCGTTAGGTTCTCCGCGACAGGACTCCTAAAGGTAACGGACTTAATTGCTAACTGTTTCATTGAGGTACCTACCTTGTTATTGTACATTTTAAATCTACCCACTATTATAATATTTTTTATTCTGTACTAGCTGAGCCTGAACTTCATCCGCGTGGAATAGTGATTCACAACTCCTCCCCCGTAGTTGATAACATGATATTATGTAGCCTATTGTGTTGACCCAACCTGTTAGTAATATTCATGCAAAATTTGAAGTAAGTAAGTCTATGCAGCACTTTTTGAGATCATCCCGAACATTCCGTCTTCCGATTGCCTGTAGGTATATAATAGGCCATCAGACAAAAATTCTAGAAAACATTTTTAATTTTTTGGTTTCGGTACCTATAGATTGTAGATCAACCCCAAGCATTCTTTTAAAAACATATTTAATGTACAGTTTTCACTCTCCTACGATTTTATTATATGTAAATAGATATAGATAGAGATCACTGTCAGCTAGGCAGAACTTAGCCGAAAGTTCTTGAGTAGGCAGCAGGAATTTGGCACTAAATAGTTAATGGATAGCTAGGTAACTAAGTAATTTGAATAATTTAATGTAGGTAGACACTTAATTCGGAAATGTGGGTGCTTCGTTTGTATTCAAAGGGAATCAAATTGGGCTACTGTAATTACAAACGTATAAAGTTTTGATGGTCACGATCGCTTCTACAGTTCGTTTACCGCACATCAAAAGGATAGCGAGTGAAATTGGGTTCCTATACTTGTTATTTTAGGTTAGCTTGCAATATCATCCGTTTACTTTCCTTTATTCTATTAACTTTGAAGCTTCTCTAGTGTTTGGAGAGCTAAAACAATTACCTAAGCTCACCTCTATCGCGCCTGAGGCATGCCCCACGATAATATGATATCCGTTTGGCGAAAATTGCATAGAAGTTACAGCACCCTTCTCCGAGCTATACCATCTGTTCTGCAAAATCTTATTTGGAGTGCCTCTCAAGAATATGTCATGATTCTCTTTGACCCATTTGAACTGATTTTGTCTATTAAGCTTCCCTTCGTAGAACATAGGATACCATATTGTCGGCTTAGATTCATTCCGATAGTAATCTTTTACATTTTTTGCATAATCCAGTAAAACATTTGTAAAATCCAATTCTGTCATTTTTTCTTGACCTACTAGAGTAACTACTTAGATAATAGTTTTGGGAATGCATAGGAAGCAACCCATAGTAGGTAAATACTCATTTAGTTGGGTACCTGCGTACAGCTGCTGTTTCGAGACTTTGCAAAAAGGGTGACCTGATCTAAAATTATATTCAGCTACATAGGCACCTCTACATACTGTATACCTAGGTACTATTATAGATTCTCGTTAGTTTGTTTCACTAGGTACTTAGTTAAATGTAGGTACCTGAATCAAACCAGTCGAATGGCCCACAATAATTGTTTCTCCATCAGGCGAATACGCCATACTACAAATAAAGCCACATTCCGACAAATAGTGATCTTCAATTAAAGTTTTATTTTCGGTGTCTTTAAAAAATCTATCATAGTTATCTTGTAACCAAGTTATATCAGATATACTAAGCCTTTTTTCAGCAAACGTAATAAAATTTTCTTTAGCATTCTCTTCGGTTCGTCGTAGGTCACATTCTATTCGTTTTTTAAACTCATTAACAAAAACCTGGATATCTGATGTGCTTTCAGAAATATTATAACGACTGTAAGTTGTTACGTGGAAGCTAGAAATATCTTGTATCTTCGACATTGTGTTTATCTTGATTATCAGCGGTTATTTTCTGTACGTAAGTGGTTTGAAAGTGAAGCAATTATTTTACCAGGCAAGTAGGTACTTAAATAAAAGTTTTAAGAATGTACAATACTCTGAATTGACATTGCGTCAATAATATTTTGTACTGACAGCAGATTTTATCAGATTTGTTCAAAAATAACTTAAATATTATGATTTAATTTGTATTAAAACATAATATGCTGTTTAATAAAAAATAAATTAGGTTCATAACGTTTTTAGAAAGGTCATTTAATATGTAATATTTAAGTACATACCCTTAGGGTAAAATCAAATTAATCATTATTTGTTTCATAATTATCGTGGAATACTGCTTTTTAATAATTAAAATAAACATTTAAATTCTAACTGATACAATAATAATTCACATATTTATTTATTAACAGATTTCTCCTATCTCTAAATATACTATATCTAATCCTGCGTTAAACAAAACGTATCCATGATTATTTTTTTCTGGTAACTCTGTACATCGTGAAAGACAGAGAAAATGCCAAGCGAATTACCTAAGATAGAGTGAGATAGAAGAATAGCCAACCGACAGCTACGAGAATACCCGACCAATCAACGAAGACTAGCGATTGTATGGTCGCCATATTGTCATGTCAATTTTGTGACGGTGGTGGGTTCATTGTGCGTTATTATATCAGAATATTGTTTTATATCTGTAATATTTATCCTTGCGGCTTACGACAGGCAAGGCAAGTATTAATTACGCAAATTTCAATAGTGAAAAACTAAAAACAACTTTAGTGAATCGTTCAATTGAATACCAAACATTTTATGGGGTCGGGTGTGGTATTGGTATTTAGACCATGGAGTACTTGTTTGTTTTGTTTTATACGTTTCCTGGAGCCGTTGGATGCATGAAACGCGGTGCAGATTGAAGTGTTTATGTTAATAAAAGTACCAAATGTATTTGTTTACTCAAAACCTTCGATCGATAGTTATGGCCGCTCGTGGATCGGTAAAAATCATGATGTTTTTTTTTTACAGGCGCAGGGTGCATTGTTGCATCCGCTGAACCATGAGTTATCAGATACCATCGTCCCAGAGTCGCACGAGTAAGTATAATTACATAGTTTTAGTTGTAGTGTTTTGCCAATCGATAAGTGCAGTAGATAGCAGAGCAGGATCTGTTCTAGATACCGATTATAGTTATAGGTATGTACTTAGAACTCGTTGGGACTGTAATGACTCATTTTATAAGTATTATTGACTGGAGAGTTTATTCAATGCTATGAAACAGATTTCATTCATACCTGTACAGATGAGTTGTACCTGTATGTTGTTGGTTACCTGAGATTTTTTATGTTTATTGTGTTGGAATCCATTGTTCCTATCTTAGGTTTGTTGTACCTTTCACATACCATATTTCTACATATACATAATTATTTGTGATAATTAGTTATGTTTTAGTTATGAATTATGCTAAATTGCTTTTGATTTAATTTAATGTTCATATTATTGTTCTGATATGTGTAAGTACTAAAATTTTAGTACAAATGTATTACACATTGATTATATAGAATTAATGTTGCATTAACTCTACATCCTATTAAGATTGAAAAGGAGTTAATTCTGAAATTGCTTATTAGTAAATGAGTTATTAATAAATTGTAGTAACTAAATCACTTAAGTAGTGATCTGTTACAGTTATTAACATACTTTTCATGTAATCTCGTCTGAAACATCTAGTTACTAGGAATAGTGATTTACATAAGATCATAATAAATTACAATATTGGTACGTTTGAGTCAAACTTAACATGAGTAAAGTGATTACAAAGTTATCTTAGAACAGTTTGCTACCTTTCAGAAGTCTGGATCACCTCATTATTTCTGAGGCTTGAAAATACCGTTTTCTCTTTCCAGTGTCTCACAGCAACTATGCCGGGTCTGACGTGCCAATGGCTCCAAGCAAGGAACAGCAGACCCTCATGTGGCAGCAGAATTCCTACCTGGTTGACTCTGGTATCAACTCAGGGGCTGCTACTCAGGTGAGTTGTATACTCTTTGAAATAGTGTTAGGCTTTGGAAATTTCATGTTAAAATCTATAAGGAATGATGATACTGCCATTAGTTTATCAGTTTTAGGTTTCTCATTGCTATTAATAGAAAGACAACGCAGTAGTACTGGTTTTGTCATATTCTGCTGCCTTCGTTGTGAAGACAGACTTAATTAATGAATAATTTTGGAAATGAGCATTTAGAAATTAGATTTTAATATGTAACAATAACTGTCTTTTTAGAACATGTTTCAGTGTTTTGAAAATTTTGTTATTAGAAAATCAGTAACACTGGTATCATGTTAGAAATGTGAATGAATATCAAGGTGAACTGATTAAGCAAGATAACAGTTGCAAATATTATAATGCTTTTTAACTAAATTGCTAATGACTAATTAATCAAGAATCTCATTTATAGATTGACCTATTTTATTTAGAAATTTGCTTACTCTTGTAATGACATTCCTATTACAAACTTTAGCCATGACATTTGAGTAGAATAAATGTATTGATGCCACAACTACTCTACTGCAGGTGTTGTAAGAGCTAACTTAAGGACAATTGATTGAGGCGGAGCAGCAATGATGACCCAAAACCTTTTAATTTGTAATCTGTAACCTGCCTATGTGTGGAGTTTATAGCATGAGATCACGCCTTTTTATCCCTGAAGGGGTAGACAGAAGGCAGAGGTGCACATTGCCAACATGCAATGTAACACCCACTTTTCACTATGTTATGAGTCCCATGTAATAGGGGACGAGCTTATTGCCATATACCGGGCACAATTCAAGACTCCGTGCTACTATTGAGATATTTTTTTTAAACCCAGTAATAATTTGCCCAACCCGAGACCCTTGCCCGGTAGTCGCACTTGCGACCACTCGGTCAATGAGGCAGTTTATAGCAAACTCTCTTATATGGGAGGCCAACTAATTACTTAGGGGTTGTTGATAACATCTTTGACATAGATACTGGGTATTACATCATTTCATTATGCATATTGCCAAAATTTCTTACACTGTTTGTTTTCTCTCCAGGTCCCATCACTCACGGGCAAGGAAGATGATGAGATGGAAGGAGACCAGCTCATGTTCGACCTGGATCAGGGGTTCGCTCAGGGGTTTACTCAGGAGCAGGTTGATGGTAAGCTGTGACAGAATATGTGATACTGTTATTGTTAATAATCAATTCTTCATTCTACACTAAGAACTGACTATGAGAAGCAAATATGAACAAATCTTTTTCTGTTTTACTTAATGTAGAAGAGCCTATTTCTGGATATTATAGCAGCGCAATAAGAATCAATCTAGAAAGCACTCAGCACTTACATAACTCCATGAAACATGGGAATGAGCTATGTTGTATCTAAAAATATGAATTTTTTGTTCAGACATGAACCAGCAGCTGTCTCAGACGCGCTCCCAGCGTGTCCGCGCTGCCATGTTCCCTGAGACTCTGGAGGAGGGCATCGAGATCCCCTCCACTCAACTGGACCCCGCCCAGCCAACGGCGGTACAGCGCCTTGCTGAGCCGTCGCAGATGCTCAAGCATGCGGTGGTCAACCTCATCAATTATCAAGACGATGCTGACTTAGCTACCAGGTATGAAATGTCTTTTTATAGATGTCATTAGGATTACTTTAAAAAGATTTACTAAAGTAAAAAATTATCATTATTATGAACTTACTAAATTATGCTTTATAAGCAGAATTTATCTCAACCACTTAAACCATAATTTTATTATTCCGGGTTTGGTAAAAGTTTACTCTACTCACTAATATTATCATTTCAGGGCTATACCAGAGTTGATCAAGCTACTCAACGATGAGGATCAAGTGGTTGTATCGCAAGCTGCCATGATGGTGCACCAGCTCTCCAAGAAGGAAGCTTCTCGCCATGCTATTATGAACTCGCCGCAAATGGTTGCCGCTCTAGTGCGTGCCATCTCTAACAGCAATGACCTGGAGACTACTAAGGGGGCAGTGGGCACCCTGCACAACTTGTCTCACCACCGTCAAGGTTTACTCGCCATCTTCAAGAGTGGTGGCATTCCCGCCTTGGTGAAGCTTCTAAGCTCACCAGTCGAGTCTGTTCTGTTTTACGCCATCACCACCCTCCATAACCTACTCCTCCACCAGGACGGTTCCAAGATGGCCGTCCGCCTAGCTGGAGGTCTCCAGAAAATGGTTGCTCTCCTGCAGAGGAACAATGTGAAGTTCTTGGCGATTGTGACTGATTGTCTGCAAATCTTGGCCTATGGAAACCAAGAGTCGAAATTGATCATTCTCGCTTCTCAGGGACCTATCGAATTGGTCCGTATCATGCGCTCGTACGACTACGAAAAGTTGTTGTGGACCACATCTCGTGTTCTGAAGGTGAGTTCTTACTGTGATCCAACTACTAATGCTTCTAATTAATTCAACTCATGATCATTTTAAGGATTTTGTTTAGAAGAACCTCTTATATCAAGTTTATTGTTTATTTTACAGGTACTTTCAGTGTGCTCTAGCAACAAGCCTGCTATCGTCGAAGCTGGTGGTATGCAAGCCCTGGCCATGCATCTCGGCAACCCTAGCGGTCGCCTGGTGCAGAACTGCCTCTGGACTTTGAGGAATCTCTCCGATGCAGCAACTAAGGTATTACAAGATAACATTTTGTATCTCAGAAATTGTTTAAAGAATTTGTACCTAATTGTCATGTTAATAGTATTTATCTCGCTTCATATATTAAACAGTGTATTTGTGTGAACTTTATAATGATTTTATTTTAATTTCTCATGAGGTGGAGGGCCTGGAAGCTTTGCTGCAAAGTCTGGTGCAAGTTCTCGCGTCTACCGACGTCAACATCGTCACCTGTGCTGCCGGTATCCTCTCCAACTTGACCTGCAACAACCAACGCAACAAGGTATGGCAAATTAAATTCTATTTGCATTGAAAATAAGGTTATATTTATCAAAGTACATTACTCAAGGTTACGAAAAACAGTTTGATTAAGTTTCTTTGTTTCGTGTATTGTTACCGATTATTGAACAAGTGTATGAAGATTTTAAACGCGACCTTGAAGGAGTTAGATAACAAGTTACTCATAAGGCAGAGTTGATTCATCAACAAATGTAGTGTACTGAACAAAATTAAATAAATCATAATAATAATTGATTGTCTCAAGGAGGGGGTTTTGTAACCTATACCCATTAGGAATCTATACTTACAGAAAATTCAAAGAATAAATATTATTTAACAAGTTAAACGCCATGGCAGTCACCGGTGACCGACATTAGCGGAGGATTTGCCTTCAACAGTTTTTATTGGCAGCCAAAGCCTTAATACCATCAAACAAGAAATTCTTGTAGAAATATCTATTTCAATAATCTCTGAAATGGCTATAAGGCTACAAGGATTTTCTTCAAATTTTGTATATAGGGAGTTCTGGGGGCAATAAATCGGTCTAGCTATGTATCATTTTCAGACAATGTCGCTTACTAAAATATAAAAAACACAGAGCAAAGCTCGGTCATCCAGGTACTTTGATTTACACCAAATCTTTTGTCCATTCCAGGTGACTGTCTGCCAAGCCGGCGGCGTGGATGCCCTGGTCCGCACCGTGGTGTCGGCGGGCGACCGCGAGGAGATCACTGAGCCAGCTGTGTGCGCGCTCCGTCACCTTACTTCGCGTCATGTCGAGAGCGAGATGGCTCAGAACGCTGTGCGCTTGCACTACGGTTTGCCGGTAAGTTATTAAGTTTTATTATTACAAAGCATATCTTTTGATTTAAAGATAAACTATATTCTAACAGACAGTTTTTAAAAAGCTATCTGTTTTTATAATAACTATCGTGAGACATACTAACTTAACTAAAAATCGCGGGTTACTCACGGCGATATCGCGCAACTGAGTAGGCTGCGCGCCATAACCGCGCGCGCTGCTAATGAAAAAGAACCGCTCTGTGATTTGAAACTAGTAGAGCTTTTCTCGGTATTTTCTCGTAAGTAATCGGCGAATTTTAGTTAGTTATGTTTATTAATAATTTAGTTATGTTTTGGTTGTGAAAAAAGTCTTTATTAATCAATCTACAAATAGGTTTATTTATTTATTTATTTATTTATTGAATTAGGGTCTCCAACAAGGAATACACTTAGCACACCCGAGTAGCATTACAAAAATTAATATCTATGTTCTTCCTCAATTATAGGAGGCCACAACATGCAAAAAAATCATAAAAATATACATAAAACTGGCAATACAAATTAAAAGTTAAAATTAAATTAAATTAAAAGCTAAGAACAAAACAACTGTGACTAAAAACAATACAAAATGTCAAAAATATGGCACACGTCAAATAATACACAATCAGACAAAACAATCAAATGTTAATCTCTAGTAAGCAAATCTACAGATATATTGGTTATTGAAAGAAGCCGTAAGTTTATCTATGTATGTCTTTAAACTGGTACTTGCTCTTGACCCCTTATCTGATATTTATATTGATATGCCAGAGTGGATTAACTCACGTAACAATCTTGCTACATTACTATTAATTTCTTATTTCTATTCATAGGCTCACCTATTTTGCATATGCACAAAGATCAATTATTCAATATTTCTAATTGTAGTAATTCTTCAGTCTCAAAGAAAAACTTATTGCTGGTCGCAAGTGCGGCTGCAGGGCAAAGGGTCTCAGTTTCTATATTCTCGGGTCGGGCAAAGTATTACTAGATTTCTTCAAAAAATCTCAGTAGTAGTACGGAGTCTGGAATTGTGCCCGGTATATGGCTAGCCTCACCTATTACATCTTAACATAAATAGTGAAAAACTTTTTTTTTTTTTTTTTTTTTTTTTTTTTTTTTTTTTTTTTTTTTTTTTTTTAACTGGTGTTACATTGTAGTGGCATGAAGTGCCGTAGTGTGCATCTCTGCCTACCCCTTCGGGGGTAAAAGGCGTAATGTTATGTTATTGTGTTATTAATAAAAAAAGTAAATTGCCATTTTGATGATATGCAACAAAGACTTGTAAACTTGATGACTTCACATAATATTGTTTACAAAGTAAAGTTTGTTGTTATTGTTGTTTCTGCATTGTCATTGTCTCTTGTTGATTGATTGGTCGGCTATTGTTTCATTGATCGAGTATTCTTAACACATATATCATAAAATCACGCCTTTTATCCTGAAGGTGTAGGCAGAGGTGCGCATTACGGCACTTAATGCCACTTTATAATTTAATACCCAATTTTCACTATTTATGTTACGAGTCCCAAGTAATAGGGGGTAATCCTATTGCCATATACCGGGCACAATTCCAGTCTCCGTGCTACTACTGAATTTTTGAAAAAAAAAAACCTGTTACACTTTGTCCGACCCGGGAATCGAACCCGAGACCTCGTGCCTGGCAGTCGCACATGCGACCACTCGGCCAACGAAGCAGTTATATATTCTTAAGAAAACCCTAAGAATGCTTTTAAACTATCAAACACCGCGAGGACACCGATGACAGCAACCTATTGTTCTTCAATTGTGTCTATAATAACGGTACACAAAGAGTTAATAAAAACTACTTTTACTGAAACACACCTGTGATGCTGGTAAAAATCTTAATATGCCACTTTGTTAGCCTTATTAGAAACAGTGCGATGTTGTAATGGTATTGAATGCGACCGCGGCCGCAGGTGATAGTGAAGCTGCTGCAGCCGCCGTCCCGCTGGCCGCTGGTGAAGGCGGTGGTGGGGCTGGTGCGCAACCTGGCGCTGTGCCCCGCCAACTACGCGCCGCTCCGCGAGCACGGCGCCGTGCACCACCTCGTGCGGCTACTCATGCGCGCCTTCAACGATACTCAGAGGGTAACTACTTACTTTTATTTTAGTTTGTTTCAATTTGGTGTCAGATTTTGATTTAGCAGATACATCAACAGGCCATCGATGCCCACTTCTGAGCAAAGCCTCTTCATACACAAAGAAGGTTTTGATCATTAATCACCACGCTTCCTCATTGCAGATTGGCGATTTCAAACTTGTAATTAGAATTTATATTTGGAATAAATTTCGTATAATTCCAGTCACACAATAAAGCTGTAAAAATAATGTAATATGTAGTTAGATTTTTATTAAGCGAGGCAATATGGACACTGACTATAGATACATAATGATGATTAAAAATCTTAATAAAGTGATTAAACTATTAATTGGGAGGATTAGGACTCCGGTAACGTCATTCATATCATCATCATGAAAAACACCACTAGTGTGATTTTACGCTCGTTTGCTGTGATGTATCACTTCGATCTAGTTGACCCATTTGTGTCAACGCATGTCTCCCACATGTGAAATGGTCATGAAATTGGGACACCCCAATTTAATCATACCTACATTATTAACAATCCTAATATATCCTACTCCAACTTACAGCAGCGCAGTTCCTCTGGCGGCGGTGCAGCGGGCGGCGCGTATGCGGACGGAGTGCGTATGGAAGAGATCGTGGAGGGAGCCGTCGGAGCTCTGCACATACTGGCGCGGGAGAGCGTCAACCGTCAACTCATACGCCAACAGAACGTTATCCCGATATTTGTGCAGCTACTCTTCAATGAAATTGAAAACATACAGGTAATATCTTCTATGAATAGAAACAAACAAAAAAGAATTTAACATGTTAACCATTGCTTTGGTCACTGGTAACTTAAAAGTTAGTGAACAAATTACGTTCTTTAAATATGAAACTTTTTATTTCATTTGTTGCATATTTCGACTCGAGAGTATGGTAAAAATTGAATTTTTCCATTATTTCTGCCTGACTATTTATGATTGCCTCGTTGGCCAAGTGATCCCAAGGAGACCCCTTGCCCGGCAGTAGCACTTAGTTCTATTTCCGGGTCGGGCAAAGTATTACTGAGTTTTAAAAAATATCACAGAAGTAGCACGGAGTCTGGTATAATCATCATATTCATAAATATAGATTTTAAGGTAACATCTAAACCAAAGATCAAAGTTGTTGTAGTAAGCAAAGCAAATCTGGCCCTTACTCACTCTTAACACTTAAAGACTCGCTAATGGGTCTAACGGACCCAGTTGTTTAATTTGTTTGTAATAACTTTTAAGATTTGACGTTTGCGATGTTCCCGTTCTTAGTACCTTTCAACAACAGTGTAGCGCGGCTAATGCCGGTCGTATTCGTAAGTTGACGCCTTGCGAGTGAGTGCTATAGACGTATAAGGTGCGTATGGGTCCTCTGGACCCGGTAGCGACTAAACACGTAAGCGTTCTTTTTCTCATCATAGTATTATTTATAGATTTGTTTTATGTTTATTTCATAGAAAATGGCTTCCAATAGGCCGTTGAGACTTGACGAAATTGAAGACTATGACTATGAATGAGATATACTATGACTAGAGAATGTACTATGACTAGATAATGAAGAATATATGTAGAAACTGGTGAAAAAAAGAAACCGGATATAATAACCGACTATAATGCTTTGAAATGTGGAGTCGATATAGTTGATCAGACGATTGGTACGTATTCTGTGTCAAGACGAACTCAAAGATGGCTCCTGTGTATATTTTTCGGAGTATTGAATATTGGTGGACTAAACACTTATATTATTCTACTATACTCGAAGAGATTTCATCAAAACCTTGGCAATTTCTCTGATTCAACCGCACCTTCATGACAGAATTTCTATCATAAACATTCCACAGCATATCAAAATCCATATCTGAAATATAATTTGAGAAGTCGAACCAACCGCGGCATCCAACTCATCCTTGCCAATTGCTGGACGAAAAGTACGTTGCGGTCTTTGTAATTGGAAAAAAGAGAGAATAACCAAAATTTTTTGTATAAAATGCAATATAGTCATTTGTAGAGAACGCGTGAAACACGTGTGCTCCAATTGTTTTAGTAAATTAGAAGAAGAAAGAGACCGTTGATTTTGAATTATTATTGTATCCCAAAAAAAAGTTATTTGATTTTCTTGATTTTCAAAGACATTTTTATTGTGTTCTTTTAGTATTGATCTCTTATTATTAATTGTTCTACGTAGGTATATCATAGTAGTATAAGAAAATATAGAAAGGTATTGATAAAACCACTAATTACAGAAGTTTTCAGGATTAAACGCAATCTTGTCATAAAAAAATGCCAAAAAACCGTTAATTTTTGTAAAAACTTGTTTATTAAGAAAACGAAACAAATATTACTGTTTGATTCATTATTGTCTTTGTTTATTATCATATTATCCCTAGTAATAAAGTAGTTTTCACTTTTATTTAGTATTTTTGGAAAAAAATAATAATATTGTACTGGGTCCAGCGGACCTGGTAGCGAGTATGGGTGTTACAAAATAAGGCGCGAGTCCTTAAGTGTTAACATAATTTATAATTCTCATCAAATTATTACAGCGCGTGGCAGCGGGCGTGCTCTGTGAGCTGGCCGTCGAGAAGGAAGGAGCCGAAATGATAGAAGCTGAAGGGGCAACTGCTCCGCTTACCGAACTACTTCACTCACGGAACGAAGGTTGCTACTCAAGTAATTACATTCCCTAGGGCGAGATAGGCAACCCTTTACATATTGATCTAGGTTTGAAACGAATTCATCGTTTTACGGTTTACTCAATCGACTTGTAGACGACTCGACATCATTTGTGCTCATGTCTATAAGTCCGTATTGTGGCTTGAAACTTGATTAGTTACTTAGCCAAACACTTACATGAGTAAGCCGTAAGATATGATTAATGCCTTGTGAGAGTTGTAGTACAAATCTTATCAATGTATAAAAATGTCTATAGCTCCACTCGAGTGTCAGTTTGAGTAGAGTTGAAGTTTTGTATCTCTTGTTGAAGCATTTTGAATTTAACTTGTCATGTTATCAGCATGAATTGACTCTTGTTTTCAAGATTCTTAATAAAAAAACCGACTTCAAAAAACTAAAAACAATTGAAAAGTTAAAAATAACAATTATAGTACTGTTACCACCCACTGATAGGTTACATTGACTCCAGACCCTTATCAAATTGTAGTGTTTAAAAATCTTTATTGAAAAATATAATAGACGCAATACTCGTCGCCTACAATTTTCGGAAGTTTCCCTCGGTTTCCCTAGGATTCCATTATCAGATTCTGACCTGGGTGGGACACTCGGGAGTATATCCTTTCAAATAAAACAAACATTATGGAAATCGGTTCACAAATGGCGGAGTAATCGATGAACAAATAAATCTGAAAAACAAATCTGAACATAGTACCTCCTACTCAGGTATTGGGTGGTTTCAATTAATTTTAATAAGATTTCTTTCAATACTTATTGTAATAAAAAAACAACAGCGAATACAAAACAAAATAGAGGAACGAAAAAGGAATGACAAAGAGAACCAAAATATGACCATATCTAGAACTTAATTTAGTTTTAGAGACCTATAAATTTACATCTTTTCAATACCTCCTCCTTTTTTTGAAGTCGGTAGAAATGCTTGCTGTTTATAAAATAGTTTTCTGCTGAAGGAAATCTTACAAACGGACTGTCATTTTTTATTGATTTACTTCTAATTTCATATTTTTCTGAGTGATAATGTAGATAGTTGGTAGTGCATGGTAACCTACTCCTCTTTTAATTTTTAAAAAAGAAAAATACATTTGGTCTTCAAATTAAAGTTTAAAACATATTTTGACTATATCTGCATGAACCCATGTTACTTTCTCTTGTATTTAGCTAGTTAATATTTCGCTTAAACACACTGTATTAACACGTTTAATTTCCTTCTTTCCAGGCGTGGCTACTTATGCAGCTGCGGTATTATTCCGCATGTCCGAAGATAAGCCTCATGACTATAAGAAGAGACTCTCGATGGAGCTGACCAACTCTTTGTTCCGTGATGACCATCAGATGTGGCCCAACGACCTGGCCATGCAACCTGATCTCCAGGTAAAAACCTTTTTTTCAACTTAATTTATGTAGTTTAGTAAAGTAAAATGTGTAGTTCATGATTCGAAATTCGAAATTGTCGTAAAAATGTGCTTTGAAATAATTGTGATATGCCAGTAATATTTGTTGTGAAAAAAGTATTTATTATTATGTCAAATGAGTTCTTATTGCCGTGAAAATTGTTGTGTTGTGAGGTTTTAATCGATGGATTAGTAATAGAAAATGTTTCAACAGTATAAAGTATATGTGCCAATGTTGTTATTGTCTGTAACATGTGATTGTGGCTTTAAATTCAAATCCCCCTTTTTATTTTACATTTAATTTTCTTCCTTTATTTAATTTTATTTCGTTATCCCTTTACTAGGATATGCTTGGGCCAGAACAAGGCTATGAGGGGCTGTATGGCACTCGACCGTCGTTTCACCAGCAAGGTAAGTCTGGATCCCATTTTGTAGAAGTGTTCAACTAACCCTTAGCAATGTGTAGAAAAGATATTACAAAACCTCAATTAGTTTGTTCTCAGTAGCTAGTACATTTTATATTGCACTCACGGGAGTATATGGTATGTTATTTCAACATGTTTATATTTGCATTTAGGGAAGCTCTTTTATATATTTATGGTTTAAAATTGGGTTAATTTCTTCATAGCCAGCAATATATAAATAAAATGAATGGGGTGTTATTTTCATACAATCTTAACAGTATTACATTAATTGATTTATCTTTCATACTGAATGTAGACTCAGGATGTATATCTAAGTCATAAACAGCTTTGTAAACTCAGACTGTCTCTGTATGTACTAGACTTTATATTCTACTAGCAACCCGCCCCGGCTTCGCACGGGTGCAATATGTATATACATACAAACCTTCCTTAAGAATCACTCTATCTATTAAAAAAAACCGCATCAAAATCCGTTGCGTAGTTTTAAAGATCTAAGCATACATACGGACATACAGCGAAAGCGACTTTGTTTTATACTATGTATTGATGCTTCCCAGAGTTTCACGATTTTAAACTTTTTCTAGCACTGTCATGTTCCTATCATAAGAATATTTTAAGGTGTCTATATAAACACGATTTTCTCTCTTCTTTACATGCAGCTTAACCCGGGACCTATTTATCACTAAACACAGGTGATGGGAATATTATTTATATTGTTTTACGTGTTTTAATATTATTTATTTACGTATATTTTGTGATATAACTGGGTTTGTGGTATCCTTTAATCGCTGTTGGCATGTAACAATATTAATTATGTAATTAATATTCTTTTATTCATTTTCTGAGGTAAGATTTTGATAGAAAACGTGGTTATGGTGAATTCGTTTGTGCTTCCCTTGTGTTAGTCCCACTCGAGATAAAATTCAATATTAAAATCAATCATTTATTGATATTTTTGATGATCAAATTCCCTCACTAAGCTCCATATTTTTAAAGAGAGATGAAGCCATCTAGATTCTTATCTTGTGTATTTTCTGGTGGCAGTTTCAATTATAATCCCTTTTAAAACATTGCTAACAATCGTGAGTTTTGTTTTTACAACTTACCACGAAAGAAAAATGTTATCAAATCATCTAAACTCAGCGGCTGGGCGCTTATCAAGTACTAAATAAAACTGACACGATGCGAACCGCACGTCTCATGCCAGCCCATTAATTCTAAACACACACAATATGCTTCCATACATTAACATCCATTCTGTGTGTCCCCGAGCTGAACTTAAAACCTTTTAGCTAGCACAACTTCTCTTAAGGTCCTCCGTCACCGGGAGCATTCGCGTGTAATGTAACGTTACAGATCTGAGCATTACATCAGTGTAGGAGGAGAACTGAGCTTTACAATGCGCACCTTCTAATGATGCAAAACGGGCATACATCAGTGAAGGAGAAGAACCGAGCATTACAAAGCGCACCTTGTGTAATATCTTGATACAACTTGTAAAACATCAATTCGAAAAAAATAACTGACATCTTGCGATGAAATGCTCTAAGTCGAATCAATATCTTACATTACACGCAAATGCTCGTTAGTCAGGGATGTATTATTGTAATGTAATGCTCAAAGTCGAATCTATAATGTTACATTATACGTGAATGCTCCCGGTGAGGGAGCTCCTTTAAATCTAAAACTATAGTGTGTTTCTATTTCGCAGGCTACGATCAAATACCGATAGACTCAATGCAGGGATTAGAAATCGGCAGTGGATTCGGCATGGACATGGATATAGGTGAGAGCGAAGGTGCGGGCGCCGCGTCAGCTGATCTCGCGTTCCCAGAACCACCGCACGACAACAACAATGTCGCCGCCTGGTACGACACAGACCTTTAGGTTTAAACCTCCTATATGTAGTACATTCACCCTATTAAAGAGTTCAGTTCAATTTAATTTAAGATTATGACGTATGTAGTGTGTTTTGTTAGTGTTGTGTCAGTTCAAACTACTTACTCTGAAATTATGATATAATTATTAAATTAGTACAATAGGTATCAACTTTTTAATAATGTATTTGATATACGTAAACGAGTCTTCATGTAATAAGCGTTCATGGATTATACTAATGTATAATTTAGCAGTGTGTGAGTCGTATAGTTTCCAAGTTGCACTAAGCTAGTTTTAGTCTAGTTTGGAGACGGTAAACGACATTAATTCGTCTTTATTTCCATGTAATAATGTTCAAATTTGATCGATTGACGCAACAACAGAGTTATTAAAATCTGTGATGAAAGGCATCTATAAAGTGCATTACAATTTACAAAGCTTGATATGTTATGTTACCTAGCAGACGATGACTACAGAAACTCGAGTTTATTTCATTGGTGCTAAATAACAACTGAATGTTGTAAGCAAAATTTATCGCGAAAAATGTTTTATTTTATTTTTATATATTTGAAATTGAAAGAACTTCAGTGTTATGTGAAATTATTACGAAAATAAATGACCCTGCATTGGTTATATCGCCGTTTTATACGAGTACGTATAAAATGCGTCGGACAATAGGGTACATAACCGTAAGATTTAAGATTTTTTATAGGCTTTAAAATCGTATTTCTTAGTACTTTTAATTGAATTAGTAATGCGCATTTAAAGTATTGGATTTTATTTAAGTATGGTCGAGTTATGTAATTCTTTTTTATTTGACTATTTTGTTACAATTTTGTATGAATCATTATTTAAATGATGTATAAGACTGTTTGATCGAGTGAGTCATGTATTTGAATTTTAATTTTAATGTTTGACTGCCATTTTTTTATTCTGCCCTTCTTAACAAGGCCAAATTTAGGACTGTAGAACGAAGGTAGCCATGTGTACGATGTTTTTTTAATGATAGACTAAGTTTTAGTACGTTGACGAGAATGTGATATTCTCTGATGTAGTTTAAGTAGTGAGATAACGCATAACAAGTTTATGTATTCAATTCACGTGGACTAATAGCGGACATTTTTCGAATGTATGGATGCATGTGTTTATTATTTTCGTTTACTTCGAGTGGTAGGTACTTAAGATGAAGTACGGTTTTAATATTTTTTACCAATAATATCGGCTATTTGCACACCCTATGATATACGAAACTAGACGCACTAAACAGTTAGAACAATGTATCTTAGAATAATATAATCGTTTAATGTAAGATTTATAATAATTTACTTGATTGTCCACTTAGGATCCTCGTATATTTTTTTTCTATTTGATATTTTAATCGACTTTACCAATGTTTTTATAAATCGATTCGACTATGGAGACATTCGTAAAGTGTCACAATTTGTGTCCATTTCTGTATGGATAATAAACTAAATTTAATTACAATATTTATGCTTTTTATTTGCACAAACCTCCTACATTTTCAGAGCTAAAGGTTTAATCTATTGAATAATGATCACTAATGTCATTCAATTGTGGGTTCAAAATCGTTTGTGGTGTTACAGAGTGCAAGTTTTAAATTACACAATATAAACCTTAAACTGTTAAACACCAAGCGGTCACCGGTGACCGCAACCTATTGTTCTATAATTGTGTCTACAAAACCGGTACTCGACGAGTTAAACAAACAACCTTAGAAATAACTTTCGATAATATTCAATGAGTAATTGGTTCCCAGAACACACTTGCACTCAATGAAAGTTTGACAGTTAGTGTTTTTTTCTTATTGAATGAGCCCTTCGATCAACAATAACAACTAGATAAAGGGTTACGTACAAAATCAAGCTCCAGTTCTGTCCGCGTTAATAATAATAGTAAAAAATAACAAACAGAGAAAAATGTTTTAAAATAGTTTTAAGTTCAACCTAATAACAACCATGGCACCTAATAATATAGTTATAAATCGTCAAAATATTATCTAATACTTACGACCATTTGTCACATAAGACGAGAAAAGTATTTTCTTACTCCTGTCATGTAGAAATTAAAAGACATAAGTTATACACTATCTAGTTTGAATTCAACCTTAAGCTTGAACAAATAAAGATAATTTTTCCATTATTGTCTTGCGATCTATATCGTTTTGTTTTGTTTCGTTTTGCTTCTTCAAATTTCGAATTTCGCTATAGGAGGTATGTATGGAGTCGCGTTGGACACTAAAATAATTTTATAATATG